CCATTCGTTTTCGATGCTCCCTAATGTTGATAGAGCCCCCAGCATATGTGGCAGACCCTTCACTAGAACTAGAAGATCGATTCTTTTTATTCTGCTCACTGATTTGCTTATTCTTTTCAGTTTGCCAAATTCTGTTAATTTCCGTCCAATTGTCAGCTGTAATGAAAGCCGGCTTCACTTGCTTGATCTTCGCTCTATTCATCACATTTCGTATGTGATCACTGACTTTTTTCTTAAAGATTCTTCTCACTTCATTCTCTTCCTCTTCATCCCACCTGAACTTCCGCTGCAATCAATACAAAAACAACTGAAAGTTATTATGATGGTCACATATCCATTACCATGCACCAGACAATTCGGCGATAGATTTTGTAAAGTTCATCTCGGGGAAAATATCTGGTCCCTTTAGTATCGAAAAATAAAGAGTTGTTCTGGTCCCTTTACATCATTCTTGACCATCAATATACTACACCGAACTTAGTTGGTGAGAAAATAGAATATCTAAAACTTACCTTGAACTCATTCCACCACAAATCTTTCACTTCTTGTGGAGCACTGTTGTAATTAATATACTGCCCCATCCAATAGTTTTTTACTGTTTTATTCAGTTCTCTCACAACAAACGTAGCATCCGTGAATCTGCAAACATACGGATATTGTGCAACATCGACAATTCAGTTGACATCCATATCTAAAATCATAAATACTACATATGCTTAAAAAAATGAAGTACTTACGAATCTCCAAATGGGCATATCATGAATCGGTTATCTTCTTCACCTGTGTTTCCCTCATTATTCGATTGTTGCGCTGAATAATAAGGTGGAACGGAATGAGATGGATTTGAAGGAGATGGAACTGAAGGAGATTCAGTTCGCATGTGTCCAAGTCCCCTAACATATTCTTGAGTGTTGGAGGAAGGGCCAACGTGTCCATATTGTCCATCAGCATATAGTGGTTGAGGGTTAGATGAAAGGGCAGGGGAAGAGGAAAGGGACGGGGACGAGGACGAGGAAGGGCTTGGTCTTCTATGTATGTGACCTCTACGTTTATACTGATAAGTAGGAAGGTTGGACAAATATGTAAAAAAATATGAACACGTATTACGGACACATAATGACGTACATGACGAAGCTTACCATTTTATTTCAGAAGCAGAAAATGTATCCTCTTAATTAGCCAATGCCGAGTGTTTATGACGTACAATTTTCTACGAACAAATATACAATGAATCGCACTCATTTTGATATCAAACATCAATATATGATCATGATATGCCATGCTAAGCCAACAATAGCCATAATTACCCACACGATCCACTTTCAAACCACACGATCATTCAACAAGTACAAGATCAACCATGAAACATCAATTTTCAGCCACATGATCTTCGTTCTCGGCCACACCATTATCAATCAACCCACACGATCGGGCCATAGTTAACCAATCAGCCACAATTAAGCAAATCAACCACGCGATTAAACTAATTAACCATACGATTGGCATTAAACAACTAAGGGTGCGAATGGTAACCATTCTGCTCCAGAAAGCAAATTCTTGCTAGAAATTGATTTCTGGAATTCTTGCCATAAATTGATTTATGGAGGAGAAATATGTTTGGTAAAACATGACTAATTTTGCTCCAGAAATTGATTTCTGGAACAGAAATCTGTTTTGATTTGTTGACTTTTTTTGCACCTAAAAAAATTTAAATTTTACTCAAAGTGGGTGGCCACAGGTATTATAAGCCATTCCGTGAAGTTTTGAAATTTTTGATTTTTTTAATTTTTTTTGGGCACCTAAAAAATTTAAATTTCACTCAAAGTGGGTGGCCACAGGTATTCTAAGCCATTTTTTGAAGTTTAGAAATTTTTATTTTTTTATTTTTTTGGGCACCTCAAAATATTTAAATTTTACTCAAAGTGGGTGGCCACAGGTATTATAAGCCATTATGTGAAGTTTTAAAATTTTTGATTTTTTTAATTTTTTTGGGCACCTAAAAAATTTAAATTTCACTCAAAGTGGGTGGCCACAGGTATTCTAAGCCATTTTGTGAAGTTTTGAATTTTTTTATTTTTTTATTTTTTTTGTCACCTCAAAAAATTTAAATTTTACTCAAAGTGGGTGGCTACACGTATTCTAAGCCATTTTGTGAAGTTTTACAATTTTTTATTTTATTTTTATTTTTTTGGGCAGCTCAAAAAATTTAAATTTCACTCAAAGTGGGTGCCTACAGGTATTTTAAGCCATTTTGTGAAGTTTTGAAAATTTTGATTTTTTTATTATTTTTCTTTGTTTTTGGGCACCTCAAAAAATTTAAATTTCACTCAAAGTGGGTGGCCACATGTGTTCTAAGCCATTCTGTGAAGTTTTGAAATTTTTGAATTTTTTTATTTTTTTAAAAAAAAATTCACCAAATTTAATATTTTCCCGAAATCTGATTTTTTTTTATTTTCTGAAAATTTTATGAATTTTTCAATTTTTATGCAATTTCTGAAAAAAAAAACGCTTAATCAATCACACGATCGTCATTCTGTTCCGGAATGCATTCCATGCGCACCCTAATCAACCACACGATCGTCATTGAACGATTAATCGGCCACATGATCGACAAATTAACCAGGCGAACATCGATCAAAGCCACATGCAATCCTGAAATCAGCCCCTAACTTAGCCAACCAATTCGACGCTAAACAATCCCTAAACAAGTCCGATTAATACCTATTATACTAAGTAGGGTTTAGGGAGTCGCTTACTTGGTTCAAGGCCAAGAAAAACCAAACGATGGGACAAAATGGCTGGTCGACCAGTGGCGGGCTCGGCGCGGGCGCGGGCGCAAGTGGCGACTAGTCGGCCAGTCGCTCGGCACGGCGCTCAGCCACGGCCGGGCGAACGGCAGGGCAAGAGGCTAGGCCACGGGCGACGGCTTGGCCACGGGCGAGCTGCCGGGCGTGCGAAGCGGCAACAGCGGCTCGCGGCAATGACGGCAGCGCACGGCTCGGCGGCGGCGGCAGCGCCGAGCGAGGAGGCTCGGCCGGCAACAGGGGAACTCAGGCGGCGAGCGATGGCATCGGGCGGTGGCGGGCGGCGACGGCGTCGGGCGGTTCTTCTGGCGGCTGGTGGGCGGCGCGGCGGCCGGCGAGCTCCTCGCGAGGCGCCTTGCGAGCCGGGTGGCGGCGAGCTCGACCAGGCGAGCGGCGAGCACGCGGGCGGAGCGGCGACACTCGCGGCTGCAAGCTGCCGGGCGTGCAGGCGACTGATAACTCTATAAAAATAGAGTTATTTTATCTACTCTAGGCAATAAATAATGCAATATTTGTTAGAATATATTTGGATTTCCTTTTATTTACTTAATTTTTCCTTGTTTATGCAGAATATTGAGATATGGAGAAAATCAGAAAAATATGGCAAAAAGAAGGAAAGGAATATGCAATCCAGAGAAGAGTTAGAAGGTGGATATCACATTGAGAATTCTGCGATTTATTCCCTAATTTTATACGAAAAAGAAGCAATTGCCTTGTGAGAGGAGTCTTGGATGTTATCATATAAATATGATAACTTAGGGGAACATGGAGTTTTTTTTTAGATCGTTTTTGTTTTCAGTGTTCTGAGAGTTTTTCAAGTATTTTGAAGAGAAGACAAAAGTGGTGACAAAATTGTTGTTCTTTGATTCAAGATGTTTGGTTTAATTTATATTTTTATTTTTTCTTCTATTATGTTCTAATTTTCTTTGTTAGAGCTACGATGTAGCCTAACCTTGATGATATGAATTTCATACTTTCTATGCTTTGCAAGTAATTTCATTCATGTTGTTGTGCTTAATGCGTTTAGGTGACTAGCCACCACTTGAATGATCTGATGTGCATGTTTGAGACTGAGAAGTGATAATATGCAATTGCTCCTTATAATATATAACCATGATTTAAATGTGGATAGAAATATACCATGTTATTTGTGTAGCTTTCGGTGATAAGGTGGTCCAAAAGATTCATTGTAAACCGGGAATATTCACAAATTTTAATGCGCTTATGTTTATTTAAATTCACATAGAAATATAGTGAATTGATAAACTGAGTAGGTTTGCTATACCTAGAGATAGGATAGTAAATAGACTAGGAAATTTCGCTATCACATGTTTGATATTGTTCTTGTATGCATAATGATCCGAAATTCATATCTAGTGGTTATGGTGAAATCGGATGCTCTAACATATTTTACCTGATTGATTATCTGCCTTTAGTTTATAAAATTTCGTTTTTAAAAATTGTCAATTTGTATTTGTTCTCAATTATATTTTGATCAGTTAGATAAATTTTAGAATTAGTCCATTTTTAATATTTAATTGATTTATTATCATCAATCTCTGTGGGACGATACTCTTCTCATCATTATATTACTTGTTCAACACGTTCGTTGACACGTGCAGAATTTTACGAACAAGTTTTTGGCGCCGTTGCCGGGGAAAGAGGAATTCGACTCTGTACAAGAATTGGGTGGAATATTGCATGACTCGAAGCCAACAGGGAGAACTTGAGAAGTTTGATCCTGAAATTGAGCGCACTTTTCTAAGGCGACGACGAGAGCAAAACAACAACACCATGGCTGAAAACCAGCAGGGAGAAGAAAATCCAAGGAGGACTTTGAAGGATTATGCTGCACCTACGGTCCAAGGATCAACATCAAGCATTAGGAGGCCAACCATACAAGCTAACAATTTCGAAATTAAGCCTTCCCTAATTCAGATGCTTCAAAACGCAGTCCAATTCAGTGGATTACCGAATGATGATCCTAATATCCATTTAGATGCTTTTCTTGAAATTTGTGACACTATAAAATATAATGGCGTTACTGATGATGCCATTAGATTGAGATTATTCCCTTTTTCCTTGCGTGATAAAGCTAAGACGTGGTTAACTTCTCTTCCTGCAGGATCTATCACGACTTGGAATGACATGGCTCAAAAATTCCTTAGTAAGTACCTTCCTCCTGCTAAGTCTGCCAAGATGCGTAACGATATTACTTCTTTTGTACAGATGGATGGTGAATCTCTGTACGAAGCTTGGGAGAGGTTTAAAGAACTACTAAGGCGTTGCTCGCATCATGGCCTACCAGTTTGGATGCAAGTGCATACATTCTATAATGGAGTGATGCCGAATTTGAGGTCTACCATTGATGCCGCAGCTGGAGGGATGTTGAACAATAAATCGCCTGAGGAAGCCTTTGATCTTTTGGAGGAGATGGCGGCTAATAGCTACCAATGGCCGATTGAGAGGCTATCTGCTAGAAAGTCGAGTGGAATTCATGAAGTCGGTGTCAATACTACCATTGCCGCAGAGTTTGCTGCTTTAAACAAAAAGATCGACTCAGTGTTGAAGATTCAAGGCCCGACTTGTGAATTTTGCAATGGAAGCCATGCTAGCACCGAATGTCAGGTAGGTAATCCTTTCACACATCCTCCTGAAAATACTAACTTTGTTGGAAATTTTAGCAGGCCTCCCCAGAACAATCCATATTCAAACACCTATAATCCTGGATGGCGAAACCACCCGAATTTCTCCTGGAGCAACCAAAATCAGCAAGGGCCGAGACCACCACCACCATCATTTAGGCCGCCTGAGGAGAAACAACACAATCACCTTGAGGAGATGGTTACTAAGCTAGCTCAAACAACTCAAGACTTCATTAAAAGTACTGATGTGAGGTTCCAAAATCAGGAGGCATCCATTCGAAATCTGGAGAAGCAGGTTGGCCAGTTAGCTAACCATTTGTCTGAAAGACCGTATGGTACCCTTCCGAGCAACACTGAGAAGAATCCAGTTGAGAATGCAAAAGCAATCACCTTGAGGAGTGGAAAAAAAGTTAGCAGAAATTTGTCTAATGAAGCAACAAGAAAGAAGAAAGAAATCGAACCACCCGGAGCCGACGCACCCGAAATTGAACCCTCCAAAGCTGATCCACCTCGAAGCAAGTTATTTCCGGACAATCCAAAGCCATATGTGCCGCCAATTCCATACCCGGAAAGACTTCAGCAACACAAAATAGATAAGCAGTTCTCTAAATTCCTTGATGTTTTTAAGAAATTGCACATTAATATTCTTTTTGCAGATGCCTTAGCCCAGATGCCTAGTTATGCGAAATTTTTGAAGGAAATTTTGGCAAACAAATGGAAATTGGAAGATTATGAGACTGTGAAGCTTAATGAGGAATGTTCAGCTATTTTGCAGAATAAGTTACCACCAAAGTTGAAAGATCCAGGGAGTTTTACTATTCCTTGTACTATTGGTAATTCTTATTTTGATAAGGCATTGTATGATTTAGGTGCAAGTATTAATCTAATGCCTTATTCTGTTTTTAGGAAATTAGGTTTGGGGGAAGCAAAAGCTACCACCGTATCTCTTCAGTTAGCCGATCGATCGATCAAATACCCAAGAGGCATAGTGGAGGATGTTCTAGTTAAGGTTGACAAGTTTATTTTTCCTGCAGATTTCATTGTCTTAGAGATGGAGGAGGATTTCGAGGTCCCGATCATCCTAGGCCAACCTTTTCTAGCAACAGGGAGAGCTCTAATTGATGTGCAACAAGGAAAATTAATTCTTAGAGTTCAAGATGACCGAGTCACCTTTGATGTGTTCAAAGCCATGAAATATCCTGCTGAGCCGAATGAATGTTTGAGAGTCGATGCAGTTGATAGGCTTGTGGAACCAATTTTTAGTAAAGCCACAATTGAAGACTCGTTAGAGGCATGCTTGGTTTGGCCAAGCAAAGAAGAAGCCAAAGCTATAGAGGTCGAGCAGTACACGAAATTTTTGGAAGCAAATCCACCTCTTCCGAGATTTAGACCACCGAAATTCGAAGAATTGGGATCGAATTTGAAGAAACCGAAACCCTCTATTGAAGAACCACCAATTCTAGAACTCAAATCTTTACCATCTCATCTTAAATATGCTTTTCTTGATGGAGTGTCCTCTCTTCTAGTAATTATTTCTTCTTCTTTGACAGGTGTGATGGAGGAAAAGTTACTCCGAGTCCTGAGAGATCATAAAGGAGCAATAGGATGGACCATTGCAAATATTAAAGGAATAAGCCCCTCGATATGCATGCATAAAATATTGATGGAAGAGCAATTCAAACCGATCATCCAACCCCAAAGGAGGCTCAATCCAAAAATGCAGGAGGTGGTGAAGGCTGAGGTAATTAAGCTACTTGATGCAGGGATCATCTATCCTATCTCTGACAGTGCTTGGGTAAGTCCTGTGCAAGTTGTTCCAAAAAAAGGAGGTATGACTGTTCAGAAAATGACAATAATGAATTGATTCCTACTAGGACAGTTACCGGATGGCGTGTGTGCATGAATTACAGAAAATTGAATGATGCCACTAGAAAAGATCATTTTCCTTTACCATTTATTGATCAGATGTTGGAAAGACTTGCAGGACATGAGTTTTATTGCTTTCTTGATGGATATTCAGGGTATAATCAGATTCCTATTGCACCAGAAGATCAAGAAAAAACTACTTTCACTTGTCCTTATGGTACTTTTGCTTTTAGAAGAATGCCCTTTGGTCTTTGTAATGCACCAGCTACTTTTCAGAGATGCATGATGGCTATTTTTTTTTATATGGTTGAAAAATATATTGAGATTTTTATGGATGATTTTTCTGTTTTTGGCTCATCATTTGACTCTAGTTTAAATAATTTGGCTTTAGTCTTACAAAGATGTGAGGAGACTAACTTTGTTTTAAAATGGGAGAAGTGTCATTTTATGGTACAGGAAGGAATAGTGCTCGGGCATAAGATTTCTAGAAATGGAATAGAAGTCGATCGAGCCAAAGTGGAGGTTATTGCAAAATTGCCTCCACCAACATCTGTGAAACTTGTCAGAGGATTTTTGGGGCATGCAGGATTCTACAGGCGGTTTATAAAAGATTTTTCAAAAATTGCTAGACCCCTATCTAATCTTTTGGTAAAAGATGCACTATTTAATTTTACTGATGAATGCGTGCAGGCTTTTAACACTTTAAAGGAGAAGTTAATATTAGCACCAATTATGGCAGCACCAGAATGGGATTTACCTTTTGAGCTAATGTGTGATACTAGCGATTCTACAGTGGGAGCTGTTTTGGGACAGAAGAAGAATAGAATTTTTCAAACCATTTACTATGCCAGTCGAACCTTGTCAGGTGCACAATTGAATTATTCAACAACAGAAAAGGAACTTTTGGCAGTGGTTTTTGCTTTTGATAAATTTCGTTCTTATTTAATTGGCTCAAAAGTTATAGTTTATTCTGACCACTCTGCTCTTAAGTATCTGCTTGAAAAGAAAGAATCAAAACCACGTTTAATCAGGTGGATTCTATTGCTGCAAGAATTTGATTTGGAAATCAAAGATAAGAAGGGGACTGAAAATCTAGTTGCAGATCACTTGTCAAGAATTCCGAATTTAAAGGAAGAGGTAAGTCCAATTATGGAAGAGTTCCCTAATGAGAAAATTTTTTCCATCAAATCCACAAAAATTCCTTGGTACGCTGATTTTGTGAATTATTTGGTAAGTAATATTCTTCCTCCTGAATTGTCATATCAACAGAAGAAAAAATTCTTTTCTGATGTTAAAAATTATTTTTGGGACGAACCTTTTTTTTTTAAGATATGTGCAGACCAGGTCATAAGGAGATGTGTTCCAGACGAAGAAAAGGCAAATATTCTACATCATTGTCATGACAGAGAGGCAGGTGGTCATTTAGGTGCCACCAAAACTGCAACTAAGGTTTTACAATCTGGATTTTATTGGCCCACACTTTTTAAAGATGCTTACTCCTTTGTAGCTTCGTGTGACCGGTGTCAGAGAACTGGAAATATTTCTAGAAAAAATGAGATGCCTTTAAACAACATTATTGTGTGTGAATTATTTGATATTTGGGGTATTGATTTCATGGGACCCTTTACATATTCTTGTGGTAATTTCTACATTTTAGTGGCTGTGGAGTATGTGTCTAAGTGGGTAGAAGCTGTAGCATTGCCAAAAAATGATGCTAAGGCTATTGTCAAATTCTTGAAGAAAAATATTTTTACGCGATTTGGCACTCCTAGGGCAATCATAAGTGATAGGGGGACACACTTTTGCAACAAACAGTTTGAAGCACTTTTGAGTAAGTATGGAGTCACACATAAGGTTGCAACCCCTTATCATCCTCAGACTAGTGGTCAAGTAGAGGTTTCAAATAGGGAAATCAAGAGAATTTTAGAAAAAACAGTGAATGCCTCTAGGAAAGATTGGTCAATGAAACTTGATGATGCACTTTGGGCCTATAGGACAGCATTCAAAACCCCAATTGGGATGTCTCCTTTTAGGCTAGTGTTTGGGAAGGCTTGTCATCTACCGGTGGAATTAGAGCACAAAGCATATTGGGCATTGAAATTTCTGAATTTTGACATGCAGTCTGCAGGTGAAAGAAGATTGTTGCAACTAAATGAATTGGAGGAATTTCGCAATGAGGCCTATGAAAATGCTAAGATGTACAAGGAGCGTACCAAAAGATGGCATGATAAACACATATTCAGAAGAGAGTTCGAAATTGGCCAAAAATTTTACTTTATAACTCTCGTCTTAAACTTTTTCCAGGAAAGTTACGTTCTCGATGGTCTGGTCCTTATACAGTCACACGGGTATTTCCATACGGAGCAGTTGAAGTTGCACATGACACCGAAGGCACATTTAAGGTGAACGATCAACGTTTGAAGCCCTACTTCGAAGGTGGTTACAACAAGCAGAAGACCACTATTGAACTTCATCCTCCAGAATAGCGACATCTAAGATAGTTTGGCTGAAAACTATAAAGCAAGAGCTTCTTGGGAGGCAACCCAAGCATTTTTATTATGTTTCTTCATTAATTTTTACGTTCATTTATTTTCAAAAAAAAAACATGATTAATATTTTTTTTATCCAGGTTAATTTTCTTTCTTGAAGGATCACCTTTTTGGAGTTTAGTCATCAAGACCATCCATGGACACATCCGACAGCAAGGGGAGTTTTCTTGTTCCTATTTTTCTTTTGTTTCTTTTGTTTTTCGCATTGAGGACAATGCTTCATTCAAGTTTGGGGGGAGACAA